ACGGGCAGATTTAGCACTATATAAGAGAGAAAATAAATACTTTTAAGATGATAGCAATCGCATTCCTTTTCTGTAACCTGTGATTGTCAGATTATTCAATTTAGGCCTTAAGATCTCCAAGCAGTGGAAATAATTAGCTACTTTCCTAAAAACTCCATATTCCTTTCCTGACCTAATATCCTTTTCCTTCTCACAAACTGCACAACTTCTCTGCCAATTCTAAAAAATACTGGAGTTATTTTTTGTTCTAATAATACATCTCCCTTATTCAGACCAGTTAGCTTCCGACAGTTTCTTTGCCATTGTCAACACTAATGTGAACTCAATTTTGCACACCTATTATGACAAAGAAAGCCAAACCACACTTCTTCCTGACCCTTCACCCTCATAGTCACTATTCTGTTTGGGAGAAATACCTATTCATTATATATCTATATATTCTTTTTTTTTTCATATATTCTTATCAACAATTTTTGTGTGTATCATTGCTATCCAATAATGGGAAGAATGATACATTTCTTTATGTTGGAAAGGATGTACACTAACTTATAATAAGAGTCTATTGTGTTAGGCACTGTAGTAGTGGTTTTCATATCCTATCTCACTCACATAATCCTCACAACAACTCCAGTGAGGTAGATATTGATTTACTCATTTTACAGATGAGAAAAATGATTCTGAAATATTAGAAAAAATTTAAGTTATTCAGTTTAGGTCTCTCTGACCCCACAGCCTTGGTTTTCACTTAATCAGAGCTTTTCACTCAATCAGAGCTTCTCGAACTCTAATATATGTACAAATCACCTAGGGATCTTGTTAAAATGCAGATAATGTCTCAACAGGTATGACGTCAGGACTGTGATTCTGTGCTTCTAACAAGCTCTCAGGTGATGCCAGCACTGCCAGGCTCTATACCGCACTTTGAGTAGCAAAACAAATCACACAGAATTTAAGACAATATGACTTGTTGAAAGAAGTACAGACTTTGGAATTTGGTGATCTGAATTCAAATTCCATGTAGATGCTTCTAACCTAGCATGGGTTCTTTCTGAGTCTCAAGTCCCTAGTCTGAAATATGGAGAAAATAAGACCAGCTTTATAGGATTGCTGAGATAAAAAAAATATAATATATGTACAGTACCCAACATGGTAGAGGCTCAGCATTGATTTGCCTCTCCTTGGGAACTTAGAATATTGCTATAAACCTTGTAGTTGTTCAGTATGTGTATTTCTTGGTGGCAATAACAGAAGAACAAAACTAATTTGGGCAGAAGGCATGGAAGGAAGAAAGGCAGCTGGACTCCTGGATCCAAAGACTCAGATGCTACCTGGAATTTCTCTCTCTCTCCCTCGCTCGCACACACGCACGCAGATCTCTTTCTCTCCTAGGGTAAATAGACTTCACTCTCTTTCACTGCAGTCTTGTTCTTACCAGTAAGGAGACTTAGGTGCCGATAGTTCCCAAGTCTCACAGCTTAAAAGTTCCACCATCAGAGAAGACTAGGTCTCAAGCTCTTTCTGTTCCAAATTTTAACAGAATTTATTTGGACAAGAGTGTATCAGATGTTCATCTTTGGATCTATTACCTCTTGTCAGAGAGGCAGAGGCTCAGAGAAAGAGGTATTGCTATGAAGTACTAGCTACTTCAATGGGTCAATTGGTAACTACTACAAGCGAAAGGTATTTAAGTGCCAAAGGGAAGAACTGGACTAGGAGTCAGGAAACCTAGATAGTTGTC